TTTTTTTTGTTGAAAGAAGAGCGCTTCCACTTTACTCGCGTTCTCTTCTCCCTTTCAGTTGCGTGAGAAAAAGAGATCTCTCTCGGACGAGTGCGACGATTTATGAATGCAGATCATCGAAGGCCATTTCCAGATCTCTTTGTACACAAGCTTTACGCGCAACACGCGACCATACTTTCAAATCCCCCTGCACTTACGCGCCCGTTATCCCGCAACTTTTTCTCGTTTACGGACATTCGTGTAACCGTACGCGTCTAATTCGCCTCATCAGTATGTATAACGTTGCCTCGTAACAAAGGGATTTAAAACGGCCTTCAATTACCCTGCTCTCTCTCTCTCTCTTTCTCTTTTTCGTAGGTCCAGTAACTCATTTGAAGGTCCTCCATTATAGAAAAAGATATGCCATTTCGTATAAAAGAAAAAAGTAAAACCATTCTATCTCGTCATTATTTTTCCTCTTGTTCGTCGAAGATTTTCTTCGCTTTTCTCCCCCCTCCCCCGAGCGTGTAGAAATAATACTAATTTAGTTGAACGAGCGTCGAAACGACCGGAAAATTTTTGCGGATAAATTTTGCACGACGAAACATAAAAACGATAAAAACATCGCGGCCGATATATTTGGCCGTTTCAGTGAAAAATTATCGGCCGAAAAATTTTTATACACTGCTGTTATCGCTAGCGGAACGAGGGCGAATAATTCGCGAAATATCACAAGAGCGTTAGCGAATGTTTATCGGTGTCATGAATAGAATATGAAAATGTGTCCCGTAAATATTTGAATGGAATTAATTACGGAAGCACATTTTCCAAGCGGGGAATTATTGAAACAGTAAAAACTGCTTGAACTCGCAAACAAGGTCAGGCAATGTAAATAATTGAATTCAATTTCCTTTTTCATCATTTTTTCTATGCTACATTCATCGAACGACGCTGAAATTAATTCCACATTAATTATAGCAACACTGAATTTGTATACCGATTTCACATCTATGAATTTTGTGGGAAAATCTTAAAAACCGATATTCTCAACAGGCAAAGGAAATTGCCCATCAAGGACGTCGATTTCGAAGTTTAAAAAAATAAAATACAATACAGGATCATCTGAACTTTACCAAGAATCGCAGAAATTTCAATTTCACTCGTCGTCAGGACGGAGTGAAACTGAACTGACTCGGACGTTTCCGATTAGGAGATATTCGCTGGAAATGTGTTACTTACGATCTCCTCCAGCTTCGAGCAGCCTTTCCTCGCTGTGCAGGCCAGCGCGACGATCACGCCGCCGCCGAACATCACCAGGAGGAACACCGCCAACTTCCATCCGTGATCTCTCTGCGGAATGAGCTTCTTGGCGCTGGGTAACTTGGCAACTTCGGTCGTCGAGACGCCAAGACGGGACGCCTTCACCAGAATCGTCCTGAGCCGTCTGCTCGCCTTCTCGCACGCCATTTTCGCCGGATTGCTCCTCGAGGTCGATCTCGACGATTTCACGTGCACCTGATCCATCCTCCTTCGTCACTCGGACAACGTACAGCTCAGACAACGTACGACGAGGAAGAGTGTAGCTTGCACGCGGACATAACTATGACGAAGCAAGCGTTTCCTCACGTTTGGAAATTACGTGTAGAAAAATTTGGGGAATCTGTGTGTATAATAAAACGGAATGTAGATGATAATAGATCTACTGAAGAGTTTAAAGCGCTCGACGGCTCTCTCACTTATTCTTCCGAACGTGGTGGGTTCATCGATGGTTGAAATCGTTTGTTTCGCGATGGCGAATATAATCACTTTACGAAGAATCCATCGAGAAGTAACGTCCGAGATCGCAAACGGAGAACCGCACGGTGGTTCCGGTGGTGACCGAGAATGTGGAATTCGTCTGGAGAGAAAGTGTATCACTCGTCCGCTACGTGAAATATAGCGGGGCGACTAGTCGAAAGTGACTGGGACGAATGTGCGGAGTACCAATTCCGAGACGTCGTCGACGGCTTTACCGCTCACGTAGATTGACTCCCCTGCAGGTTTTATGAGATTATACCGGCCGAAGGTATATCGCGCGGCCACCGAAGTCCATTCGCTTCCCTTTCACCCTTGATCCCTTGTCGTGCCCCATAAGCCGCGCTGCCGCTCGTTATATTTTTACGTACGCGACGAGGCGGGACGCGAAACGACGGGGACGTTCGTGCGCCGGGAATGGAAATCGGCCAAGATAAGAGGGAATCGTGCAGTGTTCTCCAAATGAAACCGACGAGAACTGGGTCACCCTCGCCTCGTACTCTTCTGCGGTTTCTTCACCGTCGCGTTTCCTCGAGAACGATCGATTAACGAACTTTACGTTACTTTCACCAGCGAAACGATCGACCAGATCACCAACAGGCTCGATACTATCTCGTTCGTCTGGTTATCGTTACAGCGTACGCGGCGCCCGGTTACTCAACAGATCGTTACTCCTTCGAGACCATTGATTCATGGACCAAGCTGGCCGAAAGCTGGTTCTCGTCCCATTCGAAACGTGGTGATCAAAGATCCTTCGTGTTCGTCTCGCGTGTTCTGGTTAGAACGGTGGCTCGTAAAATCACGTGGATTTCCCCCCCTCTTCATATTTATTCGAGGATCCTACGAGGATAGAAATTCGTCCGTGACTCGGTGATCTAAGAAATACTCTGTTGGTTTATTATCCCTCCAGCATTCCCGGCGATCGCATTCTCTTATGGCTTTCTGGAGAGAGACGGATACGAGGTGGATACGCTTCGTTTTACGCTCCCCTCGGCAACGCTTGCCTCACGGGATCACGACTTTAATGGGCTGGCGATTTCTCGCATCCCTGGAGCACGTGTCGTTTCAGCGCAGCCTCACCTGAAAACAAAAATATCCGTCAGCTTGGCCAGCTGGTCGAGCGTGTCGTCGAACCGAATCCTTTCCCCCTCGAATTCTCCTCGAACGGAAAGATCGATTCTTCGGGAAGAAAATAAACAATCGTGCATAACTCGAGAATTTTATTATCCCGAAAGTTGCGCTCAATTTTCACTTGGTTCGCCGCGGTTAAATAATCGGCAGCCGGCGTGAAAATAATTTCGAAGCAAGTTAGTGCGAGTTAGCCTCGTTAGTCATTCCTCGAAACGCAGCAAGGAAAACGAGCAAACAGGAAGAGAGGGAGAGCGAGAAGATAAAAAAAAAGAAAAGAAAAGTTTCACCGAGGATGTAGCGCCGCTCCGCGTCCCCCAGTTACAACGACGCAATTAACAGAGGATTTAAGATTAACCGGCAAAGAATTACGAACAAGAAAATGGCATTCAAGTTGCCCGCGTATACGTAGACCGACAGAAACAGGATTAAGTGGACGGAATTCGAGAGCCCGGAATCCAAGGTAATTCTCGCTTAATCCTCGGACACGGTCCTGCGACGGACTGTTCGCTCCGTTCGACTGCAACGGGAGTATTTTCGTCCGTGATATCGCTCGTCCAAAGATAATCCCATCGCCGATATTGCCTCCATCTTTAATGCACTCAAAATCCATCCGGTCCGAGGGTACGACCGGCTTTCGTCAGAAATAAGATCGCCAGCGTCTATATAAACGGAGAGGTGGTTTACCCCTTGCCTCCGCAAACTTTTCTCCAAAGACTGATCGCTCTATCGAGATCCTCGATTACATTCACCTCTCCGACCCGGTGTCTCTCTATATATTGTAGAAACGAAATCACTTTATCACGCGAAATCGCTCGGTCCACTTTGTCGCGAGAATTTAGCGTGCAGTTACGACACATGTGAGAAATGATCTAGCTCGCGATTTCTACTGGGTCTGAAATTCTATATTTCTAGCCGATCGAACGATCGTGCTACAAAATTCGCGGGAGCGTGGATCTTGTTCCAGAGAATCGTCAATCGTTATACCAGAAATTTTTAGGAACGGAATAGCCTGAGTTAAAAATGAAATTCACTCACCGAGTGTATGTTGCCTTTGCAAAAATGCAATTTCTAATCCCGCAGATTGCGCGACGGTAGCTTTATAATTTTATTGCACACGTCACCCCGCCGGTTCATCATTCACCAGTGCGCAACTTTGTATCTGCTTCGAGTCCACTCGCTATTTTCCTAGAAATTTTCCATCAATCACGCGCTGCATAAAATAACCGGGGCGCACCCTTTCCAACGTTCCCTACATTACCAACGCTCCGACGCAGGGTCGCCATTAAGCAAATTATATCGCTGCCAATAAACCGTATCAAATCCACGCTATTTCCTGTTGAAATAGCGTATTTATTGTATCGAATTCGTTCCAGCCCATGATCACGCGTTAAACAAACGGAGCGATATGGCGATAAATTAGCGCAAATGATCCCTCGAAAATATCACAGTTACAATGCCCGTTGGGTCGGGGCCCCTGGCCATCAATCGTTAACGCTTTATTCGCAACGTTTTCTTTCTTCTCCAGTTTCCTACGCTTTCGACTATCTGTTGAATATTTCTCTATCGATCGTTCGTTCTCCCATCCATGTCCTGCAGTTCTACGAAAGAACAGAAAGTCTGACTGTCGACACTTGCGCGAGGATAGAAAAATAAAAAAAAAAAAAAACGGCGGTGTTTTTTACTTCACCCACTTGGTCCTCGATGCGTTGAAATTAAAACAACGGTCCACGAAATTATCAACCGTAAAAAAGTCCATCTCCATCTGCTACGTAGGTAGGCTACGATTCTACGTAGGAAAAGAAATTGCAGCGTGCGTCTATTGTCTCGCGATAATGCAGCCGGCAGGATTAAGAACGGCGCCGCGCGGCTACGTACAAAGTTTTCCACGGAGACGGCAGCCGTATCTAAATCACTTGGCGCTAACGATTATCTCGATCCGGGGGGGGGGGCCGTAAGCTTAATCGCGCCGGGCTAATTCTCGCTCGAAACTCCCCAGACTGCAATAGTCGTAACGTTCGCATGAAAGCCCGCGTATGAGAACGTGCCAAGAAAGCATGCCGATTCGAGAGGCCCGGGGACGACCTCTCCCTCCCTCCTTGCAAGTACTACTCGAAAGTACTGCTTCCCTTTTAATCGCGAATGTATGTAACTTTGGGTTAAAAGCATGTTAAAGGCACAGCCAATCCGGCGCGACTTTACAACGTCTCGCAGTCTCCTCCTCCGGAACAATCCTTCGCGTCCCTCGTCGTGTTTTCCTTCGCCCTTCGTTTCACTTCCTCTCCCTTTCACTTTTAACAGACGCTGCTGGCTAATTAACGCGACCCTGATACCGACACTGTTGATTCGAGTTCTATCT